ATGGAATCTCCTGTATTGAATTGAAGGAATCGATAAATTGTACAACGTGTTTGGAAACTTTAACGGAAATTTATTTTAGAGAACTCGTTATTCAGGATTTCCTTATTTCCTTTCCTTATTAGACTTTTAAATGGGTCGAAGATCGGACATACTACTTATACTTGAAACTTATACAAAACGTTTTAAATGTGAAATTTATTCTATTTTTGTTGTTTTTTCCTTCCATTCCTTTAAGAATGTCAAAGGTTATTATCGGACATTTTTTTCGATGTCATTAAACAGCTCATCTATATGGGAATACATAAACTATGTGGAGAAATCAAGTTTCTTGCACATTTTAGATTCAAAATCCTTTAAAAATACAGAATAGTAAAAAAAACAACTTTAAGGGTTTATTTTATATTTAATTTTTATGAAGAAAAAATTTGAAATTCAATTTTTCCCTACACACAGCACAGTATGAATTTCAAATGCTGCGACACTTTAGTATATTACGAATTGAAAAATGTGAATTTTATTTGGAGAAGTCGACAATATGCATACGTAAAATGTGAGAAATATTTCCAGTACATGATTTGAATTTTGATTTGATAGCTGAAAATTGAATAATAATATCATTCAGGAACTATGAACAACACATTTCGGTTTGATACCAAAAATGCTTTTCAAAATTCCTTAACAGGAATTTATTGACCAAAATTGATTAGAGGGTTGTAATCAGACTATGGAAAGAATTTTTGCAAAGTTATATTTTAAAGTATAAAATTTCATGAAAAAGATACTTTTTGTAAGATAAATCATAGCTGCTTTTGTTTTGTTTCCTAAGATTCTAAACAAAAGGAAAAGGCAAGAAAATATGTTTACCCTCACATGGATCTTACCGCAATGAAACACGCATTATATTCGAATGTTCCTATTGTTTAACGACAATTCATATGATACATTCTTAAATTTAAACTAGTGTCTCTATTTTATGGACAATGTTGTTGCGATAGGGAGCTGTTCTGTACCAAAACATAAATAAGATTGATTTCATCTTTTTCAATGAATGTCTCAGACTGTGATTTCAAGTTCACCTTTTATTGTTCCTACTTAGTATCACAATTTTTGATAGCAGCTGTATATTTAACCTCATCATAATTGACTGTGGTGAACCTGAAAATTTCAAGACCCAGTCATAGTATGCTGAACTCCTTCATTTAATTCTTATTTCAAAACTGGTTTTTAAATGGACCGAAAAAAGAATACTTCAGTTTTCAATGGAAATATAGTAAATATGAACGGACTTACAGGTCATTCGGAGGCATCGCTCTTTAAGGAAATGATCAAAGTTTTGTTAAAATTATTGTTCTTTTTTTTATCTATTTATTATATTATTAAGTTTGATATAAACTCTTAAGTTGAGGTTTCAAACATTAGTTTCAAGGTCCTACATATCTCTTGAGTACGAAAACCAGAGAATTTGAATCAAAGATTGAGTATTTGAAACAAAATTAATCAGTTTCGTTTTGAATAGACATAATTTGCTCTGTATAAAATCAATAAATGCAAAATAATTAGACTAGAGCTGATTTCATGAATCAATTGACGAAAGATTCACAATAAATATAGGAGGCAGTTGTTATTGATTTTATGGAACTTTAATAAAAAGTGTATAAATTCTAATCAACATCATTGAAATGTGCAATATGTTTTGCATGCTCAATTGAAGCAGATTAGAAGAGATTATTTTCTATTCATGGAAAATCAAACAAAACCTTGATGTATTTTTGGATTTTCCAACCCACACAAAATAAAATAATTCGCTTTTTACATTGAACATTTTATTTATAGTACTCGTCTGATTCATTCTACGCATTTAAACTCAAATCAGATAAATATAAAGTTGTCGCTTAGTAACTATAATGTATTTGAAAATAAGTAGCTGAATGTTGTAAATATGGATTTTCTTCACGTCAATTGTCAATTATTTTTCAAGTGTTCATTTTTTTCACAAAGTATCATTTAAATTTTTTTTATATTCAAACTGAATAGATGGATTATGACGCTGTTCTGCTCATCTAAAGTGATGTAATCCTTTTATTTGTGGCGTGAAAATTCTTTAACAATTGATAATCATAGAAAATTTTTAATTTTGAATGTTATGCATACTCAAAAATGTTTAATAGAATTATTTGATCTTAAAACGGATGCTTTGTAAAAAGTAAGAATAAAACTTTATTATCTTCCTTGCCATTACTATTTGCTATAAAATGCATTTAATATTCGTAACATTTTACAATCAGTCTATTCGAGTATAACGAAATTTATTTTGAACAAAAATCTATATTTCATTGTAGAAATTATAATCGCTTCATTAAAATCGGATTTATGGGTTTCGACCGAAGCAAAAGAGACGGAGAGAGAGATAGAAAAAAATATATTTTAAATTTAAATAATTTTCTCACGCAAATCTCCTATATCGGACTATGTTTAAAGTAAAGATTTATAAAATTTATAAAGAAAAGTAAGAAGTGAAAAGAAAACTTAACAAGAAGCTCTAACGTCCTTTGCGCAAGGTATAAACGAAGGGTGATATTTTGGTTGGGGTCAGTTTTTATGAACGATGTCCAGTTTTGTGAGCAGCATCTGTTCCTACATGTTTGATGGTATATGTAACGCCTTTAGTATGATTTCTTCGTCTTTAAAGGAAGATTAATGTTCTCTCACTATATTTAAATTTCATTCCATACTTTAAGGAAAATAGTTGTAAGAAAAATTGATGTGAGGAATAGTCTACGATATATAACGTGTTTCTGTTGACCTTAATGCTGTTTCGAAGGGGATGACTTTGGTCTTTTTAATGATCTTTTTTTTTGTTGAATTTAAATATTTTTTCTGCTTGTAAATTGTGACGATGATCTTTGGAAGCTGCAGGAGGTTAAGAGGTCGAACGTTTAGAGTCTGTAAATCACAAGTATCACTTTCAATATTTATATTAATATATTTAAACATCTTTATTATGTTTCATCTTGAATAAAATATTATTCGTCTATCAAATAAGTAAGAATAAAAGTCGCTATTTAAATGCTTGATGTAATTGGAGCGTATTTAAATGGGAAATCAAAATTTAAAAGGCAATTTAGTGGAATAATACAATAAAAAATATTTACGTCCAAAGTTAAAGATTATTTTAAGTTCAAAAAAAAATTATTTTAAAATTGAATTTTTTTTTAAAATTCCTCAAAAAAAGTTCAACAAGCAATTTTTAAACTCATTTCAATAAAATTAAATCTCGTCTTAAAACAATTTTTAAAACAAAAACAGAACAAAATTGTTTGGTATTTCATAAATTTGTAAGCATTAAATGAATTAAACGAATAACTCAGATAAATTTTGTTCAAAAATTTAAAAATGACAAAAAAGTTCACTAATTTATTAAAAATTTAACAAATTTGATTTTAGTTTTCACCGTTTTCACAAAAATTGAAAAAAAAATAATGTTAATATTTCTTATTTTTTCAGTATGAATTTCGAATTATTAATTAATATAAGATATTTTTGACATTTAAATTTTAAATACATATAATCAGTCCGAAAATTTAGAATTTTTTAAAAACTCATGATTCCAGCCAACTAAAACGAACTTCTTTTACAAAGATTATCATCCTAGAAAATTCTAAAAGTCACAGCATTTTGTTTATTCAAAAACTCTTTTATTTTCACTCAAAATTATTTACATCGTCTTGGAAAAAACGGGCGATAACATTTGACATCAATATAATAATGTATAAAGAAAGAGAAAAGGAGCATTTAATTATTTTCTATATGCTCTATGTATGTAAGAAATGATTATAGAATATATTTATTTCAAATCTTGATAAATTGGTAATTCCATTTTCCAGTTTGTTTCACTTTTTAATGCATTTAAGAAAAATTAAATAAACTTTTAAAGCTAAACTGACCCGTTTGACAAATTATTGGTAAAGAAAATTGTAACAAGAACTTTCATCTATCAAATGATAAATGATATGAGCCCCAATAATTCTTTTAAAGAGAACTGACCAACATTTTTTGAAAGGTAATGTAACACTAAAAATATCAAGCTTACATTTCTTATGAGTTCATAATTTTTCTGAATGAAAATTTTAATGATTTGCACATATCACCATTTTAACCCCCAAAGCAATAGCTCCACATTCTAAAAGCTATAATCGAGTGGCAAATTATTCGATTTTGTGTGCCCCGCCGAATGATCTAACATCTAAACACTCAAAAACACACACATTGACAGAGCGCAACACAGTTCTCATCCAATCATGAAGCTTCACAGGCGTGGCATGTTGAATGAAATTTCTGTATTAAAATAAAATTCCTTCGGTTGGTATATTTTCACAGTAAGATTAAGTAAGCGAGGTTGGGGTAATGTGAATGTGTTTGTGTCTTTTTGTATACGATAGTGTAGAATGAAGAAAAGGAAATAAATTGGTAGTGGGGTAAACAGGTCGTCAAGTCGGGTCGGGTCGTGTACCTCTGCACTGACTTATTCTGGCAGTCAGGCACTGAAAGGCCTTTGATACTGTACTCTATCGCTTTTGCCCGAGAAAAAAAAATTAAATTAAAACTCTTACTTACAATACTACATTTTTTTATCGGACTTTATAAAGAAACTTAAATAATTTTTTCGAGAAAAAAATATTTTTGAGAAAATATAAAATACAAGAAATATAATAAAAATAAAATATAATTTAGTGAAATTAATATTATTTTAATTGTTTAAGGCAAAATACCTAAGAAAATATTTAAAGAAAAATTTATAGAATTAAAATAATATTTTTGTGCAATAGTTAATAAGTGTTTATCATTTTTGAAAAAAAAAATTATTGTGTGGAAATTATTGAATTGAGAATTTTTTTAAGTGAAGCTTAATAATAGAAATAAGTTTAAAATAAGTGACAAAAATAATCGGCGCAATTTTTTCTTTTAAATTTTCATTTAAATAATTCAAAATTTTCCTTGAGAGTGTTGGGCCCCCAGCGGATTGTGGGGCCAAAACCGGCAACATAATAAGTCATAATGCACTTAGTGTATACGGTGGAGGAGTTTTATGTCCTTCGCCGTCGACAGCTTCAGGATTTTTCAATCCACGTAGTCAAGGATCAGATTTAAGTCCTCTTGAGTTGGGTTTTTCACGTAGCATGGGACTTGTCCCACCACCTCCTCATTCTGGATGGCGAGACTCGGGCTTATCAAATCATATAGGATCCGTATCCGCAAATGATGATCTTACAACTCTTGCACCATCTCAGTCCCTTTTAAGTCAATCTCAACCAAAATGTGAACTACTTTTATCACAATCGACTCCTTCAAAATGTGAAATGCTTCCAATGCAACAAAATTCAACATCTAACGGTATGCAGTCACATAGTAATGCAAACGGATCGTTAGCTTCTTCAAATAATAACAACAATAGTAGTACTACAAACAACAATAATACTATAACTTCAGGTTCATCATCAATTGGAAGTTCAAATGGAACTCAAGTTAGTGATGTTAAAAATCAAAATATTGAATGTGTTGTGTGCGGAGATAAAAGTTCAGGAAAACATTATGGACAATTTACATGCGAAGGTTAGTGATTTATGACAATATATGCTACAATTAAAATTGTGAACATAATTATGATCATTTTTATTTTTGACTTTATTGCTTGTTTGATGTGAATATTTTACTTTTCGTGAAGAAATCATAACAAAGTCTCTCAGCTTTTAATTTTTATGAAGAAAAATAAATTCAATGGTTTTTTTTCTACACAAAAAAAAAGTAAGAAAGAACATAAAAATCAGAGAATCTTCAAATGAAATTCTTTTTAAATTGAATAAAGAAAGATTACGTGCAATATTGGCTTATAATATTGAGGATGAAACCGAAGAAAGAGCGTATCGACACAAAAAAACTGGAATCGCAAGAAAATATAAAATACAAAAAAACTCAAAACGGACCATAAAAGAGAGATCGTAAGGTCACGATTTATTTTTATAAATTTATTTTCTCTTTTTCGTGTATTTTCCCATAAGTTTCCAACAACAAAACGTTATGTTATCTCAGTTCCAATAAACTTCCGCAAAATTTTCAATTGTTAGTTACAATTTTATGTATCATCTTATGTAAAGTCAAAGAGTGTATATGATCCCAAAAAGGAAATATTTAATGGAAACTACATGCAAGTTCTTCTAAAAAACAAAAAATTGTGACCGCGAAAATAATTCATGAATATTTTTTTATAAGGTTCTAAAGTAATCCAAATAAGAGTAACAGTACAACATTTGACTTAATTTACTTTACCTTATAAAACATAATAAAAATGTAGGTAAGAATTTGTGTCACGTAATTTCCACAAATCTTGATAATCACAAAAAAAGATGCAAATAGAAAAGCCGCACTTGACATGAACATATAAAAAATTGTGACAAGTTTATCTTTATATTATTTCATGAGCTTAAGCGTAAGAAAAAAGAGAGAAACATACAATTATGTATCATGTGTGTGTATATGCCATCAACATGATACAAAGGATAAATTGAATTATAACAACTATTGTTCAATTTGCCGTGAACTGTTTTCATAATTTTGATAATTTGCATATAATTCAGTGCATTTTCATACCAGCTCGTTCATACATTTGTTTTTCTCTCATGTCTTTTCTTCAAATATTTATCCCAGCTTCTCTGGATAGAGTATGTTAATTTGAAATGAGTGTTTCGCACTTTTAATAAAGCAATATTGCTATCACGATATCGGCAAGTGACCAAGTTGCGAGGTACTGGAAAATTAAATTTAAGTGTGTTGCTCGGATATGTCATTTTTTGAGCTCATCCTATATCTTTAAAAAAATTTGAAAAATTACTATTAGACCTTCATAATATTTCAGGTTTAGTTCCCTAAATATTGCATTCTACCCTCTTTTAAAATACAAATGGAATTGATCATTTCCAAAAAAAAATTAGAATAATGCCAAATTTTAGCGGGAAATACGTTATTCGAGAATAACTGAATTGTATTACATTAATATAGGAGATAGATGGAGAAGTTGTATGAAACTTTTATTAATTGAGATGGCGTGATAAGAAAACATTGTAATCGTTGTCGTAATTGAATGAAAATTTTTTTCTCTCCTCTGTGACAAATTACAAAATAGTTCTTATAATTCTGTGTATGCACCCGATGTTAATAAATGATAAGACTTATAAACTAGAGCAATTAAAATTAAAGTTAATGTTCTACTACTCGAGTGGTATTGTTCTACCCTACAAATTATAATTAAAGCGAGCACATAATTAAGACACTGTGAAATCAAATTAAAACGGAATTTATTGTATACTTCGTATTTTTTCGGTAGAATTAGTACATGAACATGATGTGCAGTTTTTTCTTGCAATTATTTCTCTTTGCGCTTATGCACTTATGATTCTGTTATGGTTAATATGGTTAATGCTTCTACACTATGTTATTTATAAATATGTTAAGAGTACACCTATACATTCTTCCGCGAAAAAGTAAGAAAAAAAATATGAAAAAAATGTTGAAATATAAAATATTTTCGTTGTGTTCAATTTGTAGGTACTGTACTGTGTATTTCACATTGTTTAAAAAAACTTTATGCTGCTAAGATAGAAAAGCGAACTTGTAGTATCAATAATTTATATGGTTTTTGTGATGATTTATTTTCATTTCTCTTTATATCGTTTCCACCTAATTTTCATCTACTACAGGCCACGATTTCGTGCATTTTGAAGCAAAGAGAAAGAACAGTTTTAGTTGCGATTCTTTCATCTCTCATGTGCAGAGATACTATTAATTTGCGATGCCTAAACACAGTTGCATGAGAAAATCATTCAAAAACATTGAACTTGTGGAAGGAAAAAAAAAACATAAATTCAAACATAAATTTTCAGTTATTCTGTAGACCATAGTCTTTTATTAGAAGAGATATGAAAAGTGTACATTGCCCTATATGCTAAAACAAATGTCCATAAAGCACGGCGAAACATGAAAATTATACATACATGCAATACATAATGTTATTTCATTATGATGCATCTTTTTAAAAAATAAAGCATACTGCCAGGTTTTGTGGATTATGATTATATTCATCTTGAACGAAATTCCAATGAGCCAAACCCTAGAACTTTGTACATTCCTTTACATACATGTGTATCTTTCAAAAAAACATTAAATTAAGTACAAATCTTAAGTATCTCTTTTTTAACATTGTAATGTGTGATATGGAACTTATTAATGAATTTTGCACGTGGAATTTTTCGAATATTTTTTGTTTTCCTATGTACGACTATGTACATACATAATTTTAACGAGACGACAAATATTTAAGAGTTAAAAGCGAGTATAAGAAAAAAAATTAATTATATGCTCAATGTCTGTGAACCCTTTTCATATAAACATCAACTTAAAGGAAATTTAATGAAGTAGAGCGATAATATCATTGTGTGTAATACATAATTATTATTAACACTCAACATTTCATGTATAACCTGAAACATACAAAAGATTTTGATATTGTTCTTAAGCAAACGGAATGAGTTGAGTAAACATGTAATTTAAGTAAGAAAAGTACCGATGTGATACCTTAAATTAGACTTAAGGAATACATAAACAAGTAAAATTTAATCGATTTTTCTTCGCAGCACTTTGTGTATGCCTATCTATTACATTTCATTGAATATTTTATCTAACAATAATTTTTTTCTTGTTCATTTATAGGTTGCAAGTCATTTTTCAAACGATCAGTGCGACGAAATCTCACATATTCATGTCGGGGAAATCGAAACTGTCCAATAGATCAACACCATCGAAACCAATGTCAATATTGTAGATTACGAAAGTGCCTCAAGATGGGAATGCGACGTGAAGGTAAGTTAATTTTAATTTTACAAGAAAAAATACAAAGAGGAATGTATGAAAAAATTTAAAACAATTTGCAAGATTGTTTTTTTTTGCATCTGCCGTTGATGAGTTAATTTATTCAATAGAGAATTGCAGAGAGCATCGCATTCACGTGATTTCTCGGGTAGAAAATATAATGTTTACTTACATATCTTTATGATGTGCGCTTACAAGCTGTGAAAAATGCGCTAAAAATGAATGATAAATGATGAATTTCATTTCTTTCGTACATTATGTATAGGTTAATTCCTCTGACAGATCATCAATTTTATTTGATAGATCTTTCAAATATTATTACACAAATATTGTTTTGTTCCTCTTCTTAAACTGAACACATCACATAAGGGAATAATATTTTCTAACGTCTATGTTTAATCTTTGTCAGTTTGTGATTTCCATCTTTACGAAACAATCATGTTAAAGAAGTTTTTGATATTGATTCTTCTTGATTTTTTATAACGTTTCATTTCCTTCACTTCCATTATCATTACCATTATTATTATCATCAACATGATTCATATGGAAATGCACAATAAGATGTTCTTAATTGAGACTTATTATTTCTCGGAAGTAAAATAGGAAGTTAATAAAAAGAAGGAAGTAGAATTGCAAATTATATTTTAATGATAAATTTAATGTTAACATAGTTCCTATAAAAAAATTTCTTATGATAACTCTCGTCCATCATTAATGCTAACCTCAAAAAAATTGAATACATAAATAAACATCTATCTGTATAATATAAACACCTTTGTTCGATTCTAAGAGCATGATTATCAAAGCCATAGCGGTAATAATTTTATTTTATCTGTGATGTTCTATACTCTAGATATTATTGTAATGATGACTCATCACAAAGAAGTTGAGTGAGATTTCATTGACCTTTGACTGGTTAATTTTTGTGACATTTCTTTAAAATTGGGGGGGACTACATGCTTGCTAATAAATTTCTAAATTCAAAGAATGAAAATATTAATCCTTACAAATAACCGTTAACATTCTATGACCTTTAAGATTGGTGATTCATGCAATAGGATTAAAAACTTTTATGGCTCAATAAAAGGCGCTTTGTATCATGCATCCTTGGATGGTTTTCTTATTATTATTAAAAGAAGAAAAGAGAAAAATTTCAATAAGCACATAAAGAAAAAAGTTTGGCTGGGCAGTTATCTGATTCTCCTTTATGTTTCACTTATGTGAACGTATTGACGATAATTTCCTAAGAATGAATATTTCCTACAAGAAAAAGATCCGTCGGCATCTTTTTTTTCAAGACGTTGCCAGATTTTTTTATCATTAGTATTAAAATATTAGAAGGAAGCATCCCTAATTGATGAAATATATTTTTGCAATATTTCTTCTAGATTTTTTTTTGTCTCTTCTATCCTCTTTTGTTGCCTTCATCCTTTTAACCCTTTTAATGTCCCGTTTATTCTCGCATTCATGTTCGTGCCCAAGAGATCGTTTTCCATAATGACATAACATCCTATTATTCTCACTAGAAACACACTCGCATGAAAACACATTACATAAAAATATCTGAGTGTGTTTTCTTTTGTTTCATTATGCAAAATAGTTTTTTTTTTCCTTCACTGTATCTTATCTCAAGTTCAGGTATATGTATATAGTACACACAAAGTACAATATAAATTCATTGAAATGTATTATGGATAAATATAATCTTTTGGGTAAATTTATTCTCTCTTACTTGCTTAAGAAGAATAATTCGATTGATGATGATTTAAGGCTATGACTTTCTATGATGCGATAAAGAAAGAATAAACACACCATAGAATAAAAAAAAGCACAATGTATAGTATGCGTCAAAAATCTGTGTTAGGAATGTATATAAAAAACAATAAAAGAAATTTCTTTATAACAATAAGGGAATGTGTTGTGTCAAAAATTTTATTTGATACATACTTATATTTACGATTTCTAGGCTTCTATCTAACGATGCCAATCGATGACTTTCCTTATAAATGGAATGTCATGACAGTGCAATTTCAATTGATGGCAATGATGGCAAAAAAGTGTGTAATGCGATGTTCGAACGGATAAAAGAACGTTAAGTGTTTTAATCTTCAGCTTCATGTCCATCAATTTTACTATCATCAATTTTTATTTTATGTTTCTAATATGTATAATGTACACATACCACGAGCTGTACAATATTATGCATTGTAAAGGCCAAGAAAGAGAGAGAGATTATAATAGTGAGGCAATGTCTTTAGGAATTTTTATTATTATTATTATTTATAAAAAGTTCTTTTCTCACAATTTTTGTTAATCACTTGTTTATGGATTATTAATTGACGTTTATTGATATTTCGCTTTACATTGAGGTCAGCCATTAGTATGTTTAGTATAGCTCTTTTCTCTCTCAAGTGGTTTTATACACGTGCTATGAAATCAATAGAAAAGGAAGACAAGAAAAGAATTACGCAACCGCTTTCAGTATTCAATATATGACTAAGCATCACTTAAAAATTATTGAATGTCTATAAATTATTTTTCTCTTTTTTTCCATTTTATTAAATTTTCAATTACAATCAAGTACATAAATATAATATTGTAAGTATGTATATAATATATACATAGGAATTTCACACAAGCACTTTAAGGCTTCAAATATGATTAAAGGTAATAATTTTTTAGTGTTATAAAGAAAGATTTTTTTAAGAAACGTTTTACACAAAAGTAATAACTCTTTTTTTCCTCTCTGTACTTTACTAACATCCATAAACATATTTACCGTCTGCAAAAATATTTTTGTGGACATTACAAGACTTATGGAATAAAAAAAAACATATGCTTATGAATAACGGTTAATTTTTTTGATTCCGAAAAAATGTTTAAAAATCTTTTTGTCATAGCCCTATGACTGGCATAAAACTTGTTTGTAGTCCAAGCTTTATCGTAATAAATAGTGTCTTAGATTCACACGAAACCCCTTACAATATTCAAAATTTCTCATCCTTACATAAATTAAAAACCAAATTTTCTATTCATTGACCAGTGGTCATTCTTTTGAAAATGAATTTATTTTATTATGAGAAACATTATGCAGACGAGGAAAGGAAACAGAAAAAAGGAAAGACTTGGTCTTTTCACTTAGATTATAAGCTATAAATCATATACAATCGTTATGCTTTGTTTGAATGATCAAAAAAAGGTTCAGGATTACAGGACATGTTCTCTAACAAATGATCGATGCATATATGAAAACGGTTAAAAATAAATAAACAGGAGAAATTTCATTTCTTTCTTTCTTGCTCCTTTCAACAAATATTCAAATATTTGTATTTCATACGTACGCAACAGAAAAGATGGTAAACAATTCACTGTTTCTTGGGACCTGGAGAAAAGAAAACAAGGAATAACAAAAGACAATTCAAGACAAGGAAAGCAATCATTAATATTATTTTTCCAATTTATTTTAAAATCATTGAGATTCATGGAAATGGAATGATTTCTTGTGTGACATGTTTGAGTTATAAAATTTATCGAAATTGATTTTATTGCTTTCAATTTAGCTTCGATTTTAGACATCCTGTGATCAATTTAAAAGCCATCAATAGCCAATAATCTCATATCTGATTAACTTTTCTCAAGAAACTTCCAGTTAAGCATAGAAGGTGACGTGCTTATGAAATCTGCAAACATACTTTAACTTCTTTCAAAATAAAGCATAGTCAAATGACAATCCCTTTCAACCCCTTCACCTTAATCGTTTTAAATGATAAAACCTTATACTTAAGGGAATGTTGGTGCTGAAAATTTTTGATTTAGGGTTGAAACATTATTACTATAAAACTTCCTAAAAGGACATAAATTATTGAAAATATTTTCACACGTAGACGACAACGTTTCTTGGCCTTTAAATCATTATGTTTTTTTTTCGGTAATTGATTATTCCTTCAAGAAAAAAGAACGTAATGTTTGAAAAATTTGCATAAAGAATTTGAATAATTAAGCTGCATATGGAATAGTATTGTATACCTGTACATGAGGATACCATAAGAGATCATATTTTCTCATTTCACGCTACACGTTTTGATGGAAATGAAAAAAAAAGTATCAGATTTCTCTTAAAATATCTCTTTACAAAAGTTTATAGTAGCGATCTTAATTTGGCTAATTCCACTACAAAGAATAGTGTTTCGTTATTCGATTACTTCCTTAGGACAAAAAGGCATTAAAGATGTATGATGATACACAAAGATTACCTGAACTTACAACGTGACCTTTTTTCGATGCACTCTCTTATTTCTTCATGTATTAGGCTATTGTACAAGACAAAAGTAAATTATTAAAATATTTAGACCTCATATGGTCACGTCCTGTTTTATAAAGAGTGATACTTTTCTCCTAGATCTCATCACTTTTATGATTTGCATTTTATATTTTTTATGTACAGTCTAATACGATTTGAAAGATTTGAAGCAACGTCGTATCATGGTAATGTATGGAATAAAATTCTCACAAATTTGCTAGGGGAAAAGTTCTATCAGGTATTCATCAAGAAAATTGTATTACTGGTTTACTGGTTTGACCAGTGGTCAGTAAAATGTCTTGCTAGATATTAGGAAGGGTTCAATAAGTTGCTTCTTTTTTTTCTCATACAATTTAAGAATTTAAATTCAAAAATTTACAACTCATTTTTAAACCAAAGAAAAAGCAGAACAAATTTTCTCACACTGCACATGCAATATATAACGTAACTTTGAACAATGAAGGAGGGCCGATTTTGCGTTAAAAAGAATGTTTTGAAAAATTCCCTCAAATTAATATTATTCGCTTTACACTCTTTCAATAACATATATATAAAAAAAATACTTACAAAAAGAAACATAAAAAGATAAAAGTCTTCAAAATCATAATACCAACAATATTATTCAGCTTTCCATTTTTTTTCCTTAACCATATGATGATGATGATGATGTGGAATGAATAATAAGATTAGA